TGTTGCGCGGGATTCGGTTATAGGCAACAAAGCACATGTACACTGGATGGACGAATTCCCACGATTCCTCTACATTCTGGCATAGGGCGTACATTTGGTCAGAGGTGCTTCGGCCGGGCCTTAAGCCACATTGCTCCTCTTGTTTCCTGGAGTTTGTTATTCAGCGACACCTCCTTTCTAGCACTTTGTGTAGATTTTAGCAGGGAGGCTCAATAAGGGGATGTCGCCATAATTCGACTATTCCATGTAGTCTCCTTTCTTGAACAGGAGTAAAACAACCCCGTTTTACAGTCCGCCCGTGTCTTCTTCGTAGCCATTGCCGTTTGACAGACACGTGTAAGCTAGCACATGCCTTGTTCACCTATTACTTTGAGCATTTCAGGTCGGATTTCATCACTTTCCGCAGCCTTTTCTCTTTTCAGGCTTTTCACGGCGTGCATAACTTCATCTACAGAAATTATAACATCCTTTTGCTTCTGCTCTACAGACGAGTGTTCCTGCGATTGCGGGGGTTAAGGAGTTCCTCGAAGTACTCTCTCCATCGCCGAGGAATGTCCTTTTCCTCGATAAGAGGGCCTCCGGACCTGTCCTTCAGGACTCTTTGACTGCCCTTCCTTTCTTCTCGGAGCCGCCGAATGATCTGCTAGAATACTTTGTTTGCTGTCTGGAAATTCGACTTCAACCCTCACCGAACTTTTCCCAGGAATCAGTTTTCGCTTTTTTCACTCCTTTCGCTGCTGCCTTGCGTGTTTCAACATATAACGTGTGAGTAGAAGGCTCTTTGCTTCCAAGCCATTTCTTGAATACAGCATTCTTGTGTTTAACTGTCAGTTGTACCTCTGGTGTTCACCACGAAGTTCTTTTCTGACCTCCTGGCAACAGGCTAACCCGTTTAATCCGCAGCATTCGGCGGCAGCCTCAGGTATGCCGCTCTTAAAGAGCTGCCACTTGACTTCCGCATCGGCGTTTATCACCGGGATCTGTTCAACCGTCGTTTGATGTTGTTTTCCAGTTTCGCTATCGTGTCCGCCGAAGATAATGTTTCCCATTTGATTCTCTGGTTGTTTCTGCCACCAGATCTTCGTTTCTTACGACGAAGCGTGCGAACAACAAGGTGGTGATCGTTGACAGAAGCGTCCGTCTTAACGCAAACATCCATGACAGAGCGTCTTAAGTCAGACGGTACGATTATGAAATAGATCATCGGCTTATGAACACTGCCTTCCCTGTAGCAGGTAAACTGATGCACGATTCGATTGTCGAAGGAGGTGTTCATAATAGAGTATCCGTTGTTTGTACAAAACCGCAGCACTTTCATACCTTTATTGTTGAGGGTGTTAAGGCCGGTTCTTTTCATATCGCGCTGTTCCACTTTTTAGCGTCTACTCTGACATGCGGATTAAAATCGCCCATGATTATGAGGGACTCTGTATTCGGCACTTTGTGCAGGGTGCCTCCAATCTCCTCAAGGAGAGAG